TGTATGTCTGAAGATGGTAATAAAAATACCGAAACGTCACAGAAATCCCAGGAAAGAAGTCGTAGCTCAAGAACCATGCAACGGACTATACTATGTGAGATAGAAATCTCCATGTTTTTCCCACTGCTCATTAGCGCCATTTTACCTTTGTTGGTGGCTCTATCAATATGCGCGTTTCAGGTTAGTTTTGCATCCAGGATAATTCCTAGGTATTTGACTCCCCGGACGAATTGTATTTGTTTTCCGTAGAAAGTGGGGGAGGAGGGGGGCTAGATCGTCAAGTTTTCTTCTTTTCGTGAAGGGGATTATAGCATGTTTTCTCAGGGTTGACACTCAAGTTTGCCCCTTTGACCCAGTCTTCCACGAATTTAAGCGCTCTTTGCATTTTCGCAGAAGTAGTTTGTAAATTTATCCCCATGACTACGATTACTACACCATCTGAGTAACCCTGGATGTTAATAATTATGTTATTAAGGTCTACTAGGAGTTCGTCTACGACCAGGTCCCACAGTAGGGGGGATAGGACCCCCAAGGGCGTAGATATGTGGAGGTAGAGGAGAAATAATATTTTATTAGATGAAAAATATTGGGGCTTCCGGGTTAAGTAAAATATTTTTATGTTGTAGCAACATATTTTCTTAATTTCTGAAAAAGTAAATGAGCTTGAAATTTCCCTCCGGACTCTCCCACCCCTAACTTTCCCCCCCCCCCTCCCCAGAAATGTAAAGTATCTACGCCCTTGAAGACCCCACCCTTTTGATACCGACATCTCCATTGTATCATTATTTAGAGTAGCCTGAACTTGTTTTAGTAGCCTGCAGAGTGGCGGTATTATGATGGACTTGCCCTGCTGAAGTAGAGCAAGTATAATGCCATCGAGCCCTGGCGATTTAAATGGATCAACAGAGTTTATTGCTTAGAGCGTTTATTGCCATTCTTTTTTTTTTATAGGTTATGATCTCTTTTGCTGTGTTCCAGTTCTCTTTAGTAGTCTAGATTTTGTGATTACTATGAATTGGTAATTTTTTTCTATGATTTCGACTGATTCTGGGAGGCAATGTGGAGTAGAATCTGCAGAGTCTGTGTAGGTGCTATTTGGTTTTTTAAGGGTCCCAACTGGGTTTAAGGGATCCTTGGACAGAATTTTTTGGAGTCTCGCTGCTGCCTTGGCGTTCTTAACCTCTTGGCAGTATTTCCTCTATGATTTTTGCCTTCCGGATCTGACTATTATACATGGTTAAAAATGAGTGATATTCGTCCCACCTGCCCGTTTTTTTCGCTCTGTTATACAGCTTGCGTGTTTTCGTCCTGAGATCACATACCCCCGAGATTTGAAAGTTCTTTGTTCCACCAGGAGGTATCTTTTCCGGAATTTTGCTTTCTCAGGGGACAGTTGTTATAAGATTTCCATGCAGATATATATGTGATCAGACAGGGAAGATTCTCCTGACACGCGCCAAGAGGTTATCTGGGAGCTTATACGGGGAGAGGCCAAAGTAATATTTAGAACCTCTTTAAGAGTTCTTGTAACAAAAGTAGGTTCATCACCCCTAGTGAGAATTTCCAAATTTTTTGAAAGTAGTGTAATATTTACTTGCCTCTAATGTTTACGTCGCTGCTAACCAACACAGTGTGGTGTGCGTTTGTATCCATCCTCACTATCATCTGCAAGTTTAATTGTCTGCAGTATTGCTTCAGCGTGCAGAGTTTGTTGGATGGTGTTGGTTGGATAGAGTCATATGTAGGTGGGTTGAAGCGAGGACGGCTTCAAACCTTGCACCTGCCATATTTAGTTCCAGCCTAATAGTTGCTTGGTCCTTAAAGCATAGATCGCTTAGTTTCAAGGCATGTATCTGTCGCAGGCTTAATGTAAAATCAGTCTTATTATAATACGCCTAGGCTTTTTCAATACGACTAGGCATTTTGTAATACTACCCAAATACTTAAGAATTTCACAATAAGACTAGTAATTTCAGTCGCATTATAATACGCCTGATGCGTGTTAGTCTTATTATCAAAATGAACCTGCGTTAGAATCCGTCTAGATGAAATCCGTCGTATTATAATACGACTAATGGCGCACCAGGCGAATTGTATTGGATAAAACTTTCAATGCGCCTTTTGGCCGATATATTGTGCTGAACACTAACTTTCTTATCCTTTATGCTAAATAGACATTAAAATTACCAAGGTTTAAGTATTTTTTCCAAATTTCATCTCTGTAGCATAACTAATAGGAAAGCTAGCCTTCAGCGCAACATGTATCTGTGAACACCCAGTACTTTAACATAAATTTTGAAGAGTTTAAATTACCTATATAAAATACAATTTATAGATTTGAATTATTTATTAGAGCATGATCCGCTTTCATGGCATTTGCTACTACATTTCATATGAGCTTTAAAACATAAACATTTATTGTTATGACACTTACTTTGGCAGTCAGTGATTTCTTCTCTTAAAAACCATCGATTCAACAAGCCGTGTATGGTACCAATTTCATAAACCTCATTCATAATACTTACTACTCACTTCCTAATATATTTTTGGGGTCCAGTGGTCCACTCCTCTATCTACTTATTTTAGGAACTTCAATTGCAATATCAAGAGTTCTTAATTTTTCAACAATAATAATTATTATTATTCGACTGACACACTGTCAGTCGTATAATACAACGAATTTTATTTAGTCAGATTGGAAAATAATCGCTTGCAGGTTCATTTTAACAATAAGACTAGCGAGCGGCAGGCGTATTATTCAGTCAAATTGTGTGATTCCTAATTATTTGGGTAGTAGTGCAATACGCCTAGTCGTATTAAAAAAGCCTAGGCGTATTATAATAACTGATTTCACAATAAGCCTGCGACATATCTACTTCATTTTTAACAAATATGCAAGCTCTGACGTCGTCGGAGGGTTGGAGACCCCAACTCTCCCCTTGAATAGCCAGGATTCTTGGATCATCGCTCCATCGATTTTTCCAGAGAGAAGGGTCCTGCAAAGGATGGTCGTGGGCGCCTTATTGTGCTGCAAGTTTGCTTGGAGCACCCGCAGCTTCTGCATCGCCCTTGTGTTGTTTTGTCGCCCTGAAAGGCTTTACAGCCTTTCTCCTTCAATGTCTTCAATACGTCCTCATCCATGGCAAGAACAAGGGTAGTGCCGTGTGCCGTTCTTTTCAGGCCGGCTGCCTACTATCCTCTACTCCTCCATGTTAGGATCTCCGTTCTGGATCTTAACGAGTTTGAGGATCACCCCCCTAGGAAGTGGCCGTTTGTTATCTGTGGCCCTTTGCCCGAAGGGACTTTCCAAATCTCCCTGGTTAGGGCCAGCTGGATGAGCTTGGACTACTCGGGACGGTAGTGAGTTTCTCCTTCGGATATTTGTCCAGGGTCACAGCCATTTTGAGGCCAGTGAGAGCTTGCGGAGTTATTTGTGGCTGGGGTTTGCACAAGTAGGTTCGAAGCCTACTGATGCGCCTTCAGATGGAGGTGAGTTTTACTAGGCCTCAGTGTCCATTGGTGGCGGGTTTTTTTGTTTGTTTTCTTCTGTGGTCTTATAACTGGATCTAAATTATTATTAAGTAACTTCTTTTATTTGAAATCTGCATCATCTTCTAGTGAAATCTGAATAATTTTCTTCTACTACTGGTTCTTGTTCAACTTCATCAAAAAAAAAGGGAAAATCTTTTTATTCGTTTTCTGTATCACTTCCAAAAGAATCCTACCTATTTCTTGTTCAACAAATTGTACATCTCTGGATAAAAATACCAAGTTTTTCTGTGGATCATAAAGCCTGTATCCCTTGGACTTCAAACTATAGCCAACAAAGATACTTGGGATTGCTTTCGGACTCAATTTCTTTCTGCTCTGGCTCGGATTGTGTGCATATGTTTTGCATTCAAAAATTCTTACATGAGCAACACTTGTTTTTGTTTCAGTCCTGAGTTTAGAGTTCATACGGTGTCTTTCCGACACAACTACTAGGAATTCCATTGAATAAGTACAGAGATGTGTTGACTGCCCAGAAAATATTTGGTAAACAAGCCTCTTCCAGAAGAAAACGAGCTTTTTTTTAGAATTGAACTATTCAGCCTTTCGGCTATTCCATTCTGTTTAGGTGTATAAGGAACTGTAAGCTGGCCCTTTTTCTGATTATTTTCTGAAGTTTTATTTCCTTAAGAATATATTTTGTTCTTCACTTCAAATTATTTTCTAGACAAATTATGGAGGAGAGGGTCACGAAACTAAAAAAAGGCAGTTGTTGAATGTTGAATGAGAGAAGCTGTCAAAATCATACTTACTCCTCCTTGATAGAAATAATACCTCAAGGTGCTTTTAGGAGGTTTTGGTGTGACACACTCCTGTTCAATTATTTCCTCATTTGGATCTTTGGGCTGTGGGATAATGCTATCAACACTTAGCTGAGAATTTCTGAGCATAGCTAGACAGTTTATGGACGGTTTGTTATTTTTATAGGAAGAATCGTAACAAGATGCACTTAAAGTTTCCGAGATGATTAAAATAGGAACATCTGAATTTGCATGAAAATTGTTTCTAGATTGAGCTATTAAAGTTTCAATAAATCTGATAATTTGATGACATAACTGCTACAAAAAATACAGAAAAAAATTAATTCCAGAAACTGGAAACTCGTACAGAAATGGAGTATTCTAAAGTCCGTCGTTTTTCATCTGACACTTTCCGTATGAGGAGCGAGGGGGTGTTTCATATGGCAAAAATAGGTGTGACGTCAGGTAACCATTGGCGTTCTAATGTAGGGAGCCACCAGCTCACATTCCTTTGGAGTATCAGATTAAAATCGATAGACATTACATTTTTTAACGCTAAAGACCAGGATTTTTTGTATAATACTTCTTATTTCTAATTGGGTAGATACAGAGTATTCCACACTAATAAATAATTTATTGAAACTCAATTTCACTATGTATTCGACTAATCCAAATTGAAGTACCTACATGTTTGATTTTTTTTCTTTGCAGATCCGGCTTGCGTTGAATGGGAAACAATTCCACCAAATTTCGAACCTTTAGCGCCAAACTGTTGCCCGGAGCAAGTAAAGTGCAAAAATAATGGGTCCTGTCTACACGAAGGAAGATCTTTTAAAAATTGGGAGCAGTTGCCTATCAATGTGACTGGATGTGAAAAAAGGTACGTAAATACCTACAGTGGAAATCAACATGTCTGCTGATTTTAAACAGATCCTTGCTCGCCTTGATCAAACTTTGAGCTCAGCACAAAAAAGACTCACTACACTAATACTAGGCTTTATGATAAATTATTATGTTTATCCAAATTAAAAACCATTCACAGATGTTATTGTGAACTGGGCAAAGTCGAATGCCAAAACACCTGTCCTCCAGTGCCTGCACTACCTCCAGCAAACCTCCCGTGTCCTCCAAGAGAAGCTTCGCTGCAACATGGTCCTGATGACGATTGCTGTATGTTTTGGGCATGTTCCGATTCCAAAGAACAAGGTAATAGTCGGCTTTTTCCTATAATTTATTATGCAGTAGCTAATTTTTTTGAGTTAGGTACTTAGTTAGTACAATAATGTAAAGAACTCTGAGACTCGATCAATGTAAATTTGCCAGATTTTATTTAAATACATTTATTTATATAGGCACATAGTACAAAATATGTCTCACAGACTTCTTATTCCAGTTAGTGCTTTACATTTTTCACTAAGATACAGTTACTGATTATTATTTTTGGACATGGAACTAAACAATAGACTGACTTCTCTGTAGCTGCGGTTGTGGCATCCACACTTTTGCTGTAAATATTTTGCTTTTACTCCACATTCCTTCTGTTACCTACCAATTAAAATTTATTTTTATTCTCGTTGAAATCGCATTATCATCGAAAGTGGCAAAAATTCGCAAAAGACAAACGTGGATATTCATTTCTTGCAGCCGCAGTAGTGCCAACAACAAATAAGACAACGAAACCTGACAAAATAGGACCGAACAACTTTAGTCCAGGACCATTTTTCCACACTAAAACGCCATCTAAAATCCTGGGGCCACTCAGCGTGTACGCTAACGAAGATGCATCTTCGCTAAACAACGATTTGGATCCACTAGACAGACCTCATAAGCCTCATATAAATCCCGAAGAAAATCCTTTTGTTCGCAATCCAACTAAAGCTCCTACAAAGTTTTTGGCTTCAAAAAAACCTGCTAGCAAACCAAATAATCCAGCTGACCATCAAATATCAATCCATGGTCAAGGCGACAATCCAGAAGACCTTTTACAATTCCTACAACAACATCCGGAAATATCAAACTTACCTTCCGGTTCAGTTTTGGAAATTCACAATTTACCAACAACTAACATCAACGACATCAATCCCAATTTGAATTCCATACACAAATCCCCTTACGTGCCGATTTTAACGCATCCAGAACAAGCAGGGCACGTTCCTCAGGACGTTTCTTTGCAACAAATTCTGGAGGAGCTACATAAAAATGTTGCGCCGCAAGGACACCATCCATTTCCTCCTAGCCCCCCCTATTTTGGTCATCGTGATCAAGCTGCAAGTGGAAGTAAAAATGGTAAAAATAAGACAGCTGCGGTTAGACCACAAGGTAATGACAAAACTTTACTTACCTACTTGACAGATCAAAGGCAAGAATCAAATAAAACTAATTGAACTAGTAGTTTGGTTTTAACCAGATCTGGACTCATTTGCGATCATTTTTCTATATTTTATTTAGTATGTGATTTCTTTTACCACTTGACAATAAGGTTTGCAAATCGAATCCATATGTACCGTTGAGAGTTTTGTTTTCTAATGTGTAGGAAGCAAATTTATTATCTATATCAGCATATTTATGAACGTTTTCCTTAATATCTAGAATCTTTCAACAATCATTATCCAGACGATTTCGGTTTCAACCAACCTCGCGATGATATAACCGTTCACGCACTAGAAGCAGTGGATCCGCACACCATTAGACTAGCGTTCATGGTACCGCCGGTTATTGTTGGGCTACACGGAAGAGTGGAAGTTAGATACACGTTCAAAGAGTAAGTAACAATCAATAATTATTGTGAACCCATATATGGGTCATAATTTTCAAAACGCTTGGAAATCAACAATTTTCAAAATTTCCAGTATCGATGATGTCAGTGCTTGGGATCTGCAAGTTTTCGCTCCTCCTAATGACCTAATTGCAACGCCATCGCTCGAATTTGATTTGCTCGATTTGGTTGCGGATAAGGAGTACAAAATTAAAATTACAATAACTCTCAGGTAAGTTTATTAGCTATAGGTCTATAGGTTCTTTTTTTTTGTTAAGGTATTATAGTTTATATTTGTTATCTTTATATAGCAGTTGCGTAGGTACCGTTTCGTCTAACATCCCATTGTTATTTATGGTCCTTGTAACTAAAACACATCCTGATAACATTACAAAAGGTCTACTTATTTTAGATAGCAAAATATCTTTTATGGGGTATAGGTGGAGAAAATATACCAAACAGATTGCCAGAGACCCATTCAATTTCAGCTTAATTATGATAAAACTTTACGAACAAATGAGTGAAGACAAATATTGGTTCAAGGCTTTGAAAGTCGTTAAATATAAAACTAGAAAAGAAAAGCTCTAGCCAGAATACGGTAAATTTCAAGAGCAGCAACAAGTTAGGACAGAAACCTTCACAAGTAGGTGCCATACGGAATTCAAGTCGATTAAATTTGGAAAAGAGTTAATAAAACGGAAACGCCGAAACGTCTGTGATAAAGGTCTTCCTTGTAAAGAGAGAATGCCTTTGAATTGGGAATAAATTGAAATCATCATAGGCGATCACTTGATAGTACCGAGTATGATTATCTTCTATTCTATTCTCATTGTCGTCGACTGCACGTTTTCTGTCGTCTTCAAGTTGAAAAAATGAAATAATAGCCTGATGACCTGGCTTTGAATTATTCAATCTAGTAGTTTGGTTCACTGCCAAAAAGTTCTACGATGATATAACCTATGCCCTCTGAGGTTTTGGAATTCCGGGCTCACAAAAACTCACTTCACAAACAGTAACAACTTTCAATAAACTAATTGACTTGAAATTCACTTATCACTTATCGAAATGTACACGACAATTAAAGACTTAAAGCTAAGATTTATCTATAAAAACCCGGAGTCCTACTTGAATAGAATTCTTCGAATTGCTTGCACGACTCGCCATTCTCAGAATCCAGCCGGGCTCCCGAGGCAATTTCGTAACACTGCCCCTTTCTCAAATCAGATTCACCACCTCCTCTACTTAGGCGTCTATATCTCCACTCAGATTCATAATGATTTATTCTCTTCTTTTGCCTAACATCTCTATGCCTGTCTGAGCTGAATGGACAGCGACCTGATCGCAGCGCCTTAGACCGCTCGACCTTTTCGACTTTCCAGATTCAGCATAGTCGTAATCCACCAATCTTCTTGTTTCTGGTCTTCCTTTCTTCGGATTTTTCTTTTGTACATTTCGTTGATCCATCCCTGGCTTCCCTAATGTCGAAAAATGATTCGAAGTCGAGATTTCTCTTCCAGTTGATCACCTCCCAGCTGTTCAGGACTCCGTTCTCCATCTGCATCCAATCGAAGGCTTCTAACAGGAACTCTTGCTAGCTGATCAATTCTGAGGCAGTTCTTGTCTTGATCTGGGTATGATCGACGTTGCAAGTTCTCAATCGAAGATTGACGGTTTTGAGGAGAGCGAGATCTCAGTTGTACTCTACAGTCACCTTTGAAATGTTCTCTTCTTCCGCACCGGTATCTAACATCTAATGCTCCTTTTTAAGTTTCCCACTTTGATTCTGATAACAGCCTTTAGTAATTCTTCCAGAAATTCCTCCATTATGACGCCGTTAATTTCTCCCATTGGCCTTTTTCTTCACGAATCGAAACATCTTTAATCTTTACTTCGGAAATTTTATAGGCCGCCTCTATTTCTAGGGCCTTGATTCTTGATTAGAGCTTCGCTGCTTTTTGATGGTTTGGTTATGAGCAGCATTCTCTTTAGGTACATCCATATCTCTAATCCCCAAAATATGAAATTTTCGGTTGCTAGTTGTTCTCGCATTTCTGTTGCTGCTTCCGGATTAATACCAGGTGCAAGCGAGGCTGAGACATTTCCTGACCTCAAGTCACATTCCATTTTTTTATAATCTACTCCTGAATACATATGTAGGTACATATAACAAAGGTTATCAAAAAACTCACTGAAAAAGATATATCTGGTCGCGTTAAAACTGCCAGATACATAAAGGTGCGTACAGACATGCAACAGAAAGCCGTAACGTAACTTCACCGCGTATCAAGCACGCGACATGTTCTGTTGCGCGACGTTGTTACGTTGCGATGAGGAAAGTGGGTTTAGTTTGGTGCAACAGAACATCGCCGCGCAACATCGGCGCGGAACATTTAGGCGTCCCAGCTTTTTAGCAACGTTTTTAGTTAGTTGGTATCTACGTTCAAGTAAGATGGACATTGCTGCTGCAGCTTACATAGTTATGCACTATTTAGTGCATAAGAGAAAACGCAGACCAAGACGCTGGTGGCAGACTCAATTATACACCAGTAGAACTGTGTACAGTGGTCGTCATTTATTGAGAGACCTAAACTTCCAGTCTGTGAGTGGTCTATACAAAAACTTTACCAGAATGTCGCCAACTGATTTTGAATTTTTGATTAACCTAATCGGTCCAAAAGTATCAAGAAGAGACACTAATTGGAGACAAGCTATTTCGGTTCAGGAAAGATTGGCAGTAACAATGCGTTTTCTGGCGACTGGAGATTCCTTCACGAGTCTGCAATATCTGTTCAAAATTTCGAAACAATCGATAAGCGCTATAGTACCAGAAGTGTGTGAAGCTCTCATAGAAGGGTTGAAGGAGAATATACAGGTATGTTGATTTATTTATTGCTCAAAATTCTTTATTATAAAACATTTTTCTATAAAATTTTGTTCTTGAATATCATTTAATTATCTGGCAAGTTTAAATCAGTTAGTAATGTTGCACTGGTAAATGGGGGTGGATTGCTGGTAGAAGCGGAATAATTTGTCATACCCGAGCATTGTGAACTTGCTGATGCTGGAGATATTAGTGGCAGTGGTACCGGTGAAAACTGAGGCGCTTGGGATGATGCGTCAGTTGCAAAATCCCAATGAGCTGCGGGACGGGGTGAATATGGGGATTGTATCAACTGAGTATCTTGGTAAACCGAATCACGTTGTACAAGTTCGCTTTGGATTGTGGAATAATTGTTTGATTGATAACCTCTTGGAGCGGGATATTGATTATAATACCCCTTGTCTGCCGCAAATAAAATATTCATGATGGCTTCTTGTACTGCCGTTTGTGCTACGTTCGAATATTTACTAAGTTTCTTGGCTACAAGATTTCCAAATATTTGACATTCGCTTGGATCCTGCGGTGGTTCCTTATTCGATGCCTTTGTTAGAATTTCGAAAGCAGCATCCAATTTTTCAACTGCACGTTTTTTGTTCGGGATACTATGAGTCATCTGAGGGGGTTTTCTTTCCTTGTTACTGACTCTAATCCGAGTCTTTGGAGTCTGCTGAGACTCGTTGGGCTCCTGGGTCACGCGAAGCTCATGAGTCTCGTGAGACTGCTGAGTCCCGTGAGGCTTCTGAATCTCATGATGCTCTTCAGTCTCGTCAGGCTCTTGTATGTCGTTAGTCTTCTGGGGCTCCTCAGAGTCCGGATTCATATCTTGCAAAGCGGTATCATCATCTACATCATTACTTTCGTCTGTTTCTTTATCAATCTGCAACCAAATAAAAAGTTCTGTTGATATTTTTTCGATAATATGACAAAATAGTTTTCTGGGTTGGGAAAGAAATGTCTTGTAGATCAGGTCATAAATTCAAGGTTTTTTAGTTAGTAGAATCATTATTCTTTGAAGTTTCTGAAAACGATATTTTTTACAGATACCAACAACATCAGAGGGGTGGTTACAAGTAGCAAAACAATACAACGATATTTGGAACTTTCCGCACTGCCTAGGGGCAATCGATGGAAAACACGTCGTTTTGCAAGCACCTATTAATACAGGAAGCGATTTTTTTAACTACAAATCGACATTCAGCATAGTTCTTTTTGCAGTAGTAGATGCTCATTACAACTTTTTGTATGTTGATGCTGGAGGCCAAGGAAGAATTTCTGATGGTGGCATTTTCAAAAATTGTTCCCTGTTCAAAAAACTAGAAAAAAATGAGTTAAGATTGCCACTAGCTGAAGCTTTGGATGGTAGACAACGCGAAATTCCCTATTTTTTCATTGGAGATGAGGCGTTTGCTCTCACTGATACATTAATGAAACCGTTTTCGGGAATTCACCCCAAAGGATCATTACAAAGGGTTTATAATTATAGATTATCTCGCGCGCGAAGAGTCGTAGAGAATGTATTTGGTATTGCTTCAGCAGTATTTAGAGCACTCCGGAAACCCATGCTGCTAAGTCCTGAAAAGGCTGAGCTCATTGTAATGGCAATAGCTCACTTACATAATTTCTTAAGGAAAAGTTCCTCCTCCTGTCACTTGTATACACCAAACGGAACATTCGATACGGAAGTAGAGGGAAAACTTGTCGATGGAGCGAGAGCTTCAAGTAATGAACCAACTACTTCGCTACTTCCTCTCAGAAATATTCCCAGAAAACCATCCATACAGGCTAAAGCAATTCGAGAAGAATTGGCTGATTTCTTTCAAAATGAAGGGCGGATTTTGTGGCAAGATAAATATACTTAAATAATATTGAAAAAAATAAATAAATAAATAAATAAACACTTACAGAGCTTTGAGTATTGCGTACTTTGTTTTTGTCCCACAGGAATAGCAAGCTCTTGAATGCGAACCAAGAACTTTCATACACATCGGAACGCCCTACAATTGAAATAATAGTATATTAATCAATTCATATTATACTATTACAAAAGTCAATTGGAACAAGGTACCAACTGGTGGCTGACTGATGGTCACTGGAAAGTTCCATAAGAAATGCACTGCCGCCACTGCCACTAGTCAGCCGGCCACCAGTATGATTTATGTTTACCTTGTTCCAATTGACTTTGGAAAAACTATACCAGTAGTAACAACCCAAGGACATTGATAATTGTTCGAAAACATTTTTTTAACAGGTTTCGAAAGCTTGTTGAAGGCAACAAGCTTGAGAAAGTTGTTAAAAAAATTGGCTGTTAGAAGTGTCAAAAAAATTTAATTAATTAATAAATCTTTACCTGT